GTTTCAGCTCAATAGAGCTCGACCACAGCTATTTATGCAAAAAAAAGTAAAAATTAAAAAAAATGAAACCATTTCGAGTTTTTCATTACAATTTTGAGCCGTATATTTGATACATATGCGGAGGAGCTACGGTAAAAGAGAAAACTACTGATAGCTTTAACAACAGTTACTAAAAAAATTTCATGAAACTTTTCTGTCTGAGCTGTCAAAGTTTTACACGTCGGATTTTTAAGCCACTTTTCCCAAAAGCAAGAGATTTTGTTTCTTAATTCTTAAGACATTGACTAAATTGTATTTGGAACGATTTCAAGTGAAAACATTTGTGTTGACAAAAGAATTTTTTTTTGCTTATTGTGGAGTGAACTATTAAACATTGCTTACATTGGCTATTTAGCTTTTGAAGCAATTAGTTTGCAGCCTTTTGAAGCAATTAAAATCTGACAAGGCCATTCACAACTCTGAAATCACTTACAAGTTGTGTACTCTAACTCAAGGTATTTAATCATTTTTAGCGGAAATACTATTAGCGCAACAGTATTCAACAGTATTCTCAGTAAATGTTGTGTTTACTTGAGTCCGAGTTGTAAAATTTAGCTTGATCGGGTTTTTGTTTTTTCTAAAATTGGTTTTTCAAAGCCTTGAGGCATTGTTTCATCGGGCCATGTTAATGATCATTAACAATCATATTTTTAAGGTCGATTTGTGACTTCTTGATTTCTTAAATGTAAATGTGAACACTTTTTAACATTTGACTGTATGATAAAGTTGGGAACTAATTATGAGAAACCCTGGAATTGAAAGCTCACAAGACTAATGGTTAGGCAATCATTATCAGGCCATTTTTGCCATATAAGCAGAGAGTTTCGCTTTGCTCGCTGTGGAGCTAGTTTGTTCAATAGTTCCTGTGATATCTTTTTAAGAAATTCATCTTTTTCTCTACCGTAATATACCTTTGACTCTGATTTGATATATCGAAATATGTCTTTGATTATGTCAACCAAATTATTGACCGTTTTTAACTAAGAATCACTATCAATTTAGAGCTGAGTTTGTGAAATTTAGTGGTACATAAGAAATTTTTAGGACATTTCAATATTTGGTTAATCTTTTGTCATGACAAAAACAAGACTGCTCGTATATCGCGGCAAAACCCTGAATGTTCCGGCTGCCCTTTAACCGGCCTCGATTTAGCACAGCCTCGATTAACTATTAATTTAGCACAGCCAGTATCAAATGCAAATCCTATCATGTGAGGAGAATTAACATGACTAATTATAGCCGGTCTCAATTTTATTTGTAATGAATATGAGTGCGGAAAAATTTCGGGTTGTGAAATTATCAATTTATTATTCTAGCAGCGATGTCATTCGTATTTATGTCAAGTGCAAGCATACTCGCTTAGCAATCCAAAGATTTCCGGAGCGATACCCATGCGCTGTCAGTTTTTAAAACTCGGTCTGGAAATCAAAAAAAAACGACCTCAGGCATATATGTTCTTCAATTTCTTCGAAAGTCGGAACAATAAATTAAACTAATTTGTTTAAAATTATTTCAATTATAATTTATGAAATTGTCCAAAAATACGCACGTATTTAATTTTAACTGTTCAATGGAATCTCAACTTCATTCAATTAAAACGTTGACATAAAGGAATCATACTTTGCATTAAGTAAAAATTCTGCAGAGATTTGATGAAATGCGTCACATTGTAAAATCACTACTTAGCTATAAAAGCGTCAAAAGCTGTTTAAAGAATTTTTCAATCAGAAAATGTGTTTAAATCAGAAAATTAAAACAGGCAACAACAGATTTGACTTTAACTGGTTTTTGTCAATGTTTGATTATTCCGAGAGTAAAAAAACTCAAGGTTTTTTAGCCGCAGGTCAGAAAAGGACTATCATAATTTTTAAACAAAAAGCAGAAATTGAAACAAGTGTTAATTGTTTTTAAATAAACTGTTTTAAAGAAGCAAAATCAAGAATCATTCCTAATAAAAAAGACTTAAAAACGAAGTGAAAAAACTTTTTACAATGTTTTTTCTCCTTTTTCAAACAAGCTAACCGAAAAAAAAATAAAAGTTGAAACAAACAAACAAGAAATTAAAATCAAAAACTACAATGAGGGCAAAAATAAAGGCAAAGAGCCCTAGAATCATTTTCAAGATTTTCCTTTTTGTTTTCATAATTATATGAGTAACTTTGAGGAACGTTGGACCATAAAACAAACCATAGATGTTAAATACTAAGCACAAATCAGCTCTTTTGGTTCAACCTTCAGCACGATTAGAGTGACAAAAACTATATTTCACTTCGCAAACTACAGTGTCATGAGTCGAGTTCCGAGTCGAGATTTTCCGCCTAATTTGAAGCAAGATATGAGCGGTTTTTTAGACAATTACGCTCAAAATCTTGCTTCAAAATGATGCTCCAGTGTTTTCAGACGTCTGAAAACACTGGAGCATCAATTTCTGAGACGCCCATACCTGGAACTTTGACGCTTCCTTTAATGAAAGTTCTGAAAAAACTACCAATCTAGTTTGGAGCAAGATCGCTTATCGAGTTTGGCTTTGGAATGAAGTAAAAACAAACGTTCAAGATGTCATTTTTAGATTTCCAGCCAGAACCGCAAACCCATTTTGCACAATTTTAAATAATTTTATATTTGAGATCAATTTTACAAGTGCTTTCTGCCCCCCCCCCCCTCCGTCCATTTGCATCTAGCATCCGTTGTATAGTTTAGCCAGTGGTTTTAAGGTAAAAAGTATGAAAACCAAGATCAGATTGTCATGGCTTACCCGGGTTGACAAAAAATGCTTATCATACAATTTTCATAAATGAACAAAATGCTTATCGCACAATTTTCATATATGAAAAAAATGCTTATCATACTCTTTCATACAATTTCATAGACCAAAAGTAAGTGTAACAAAATAACAAAATAAGCTTTATAACTTTATAACAAGCATTTTTTTCATACTCTGGAATTAAAATTTGAGCTCTATGAAAAATTTGTCTCTTTATTCCCAAAACTGTATGAAAATAGCATGATAGGCATTTTTTCCATTCTATGAAATTGTTTGATAAGCATTCTTACCATAGACGCCATGTATGAAATTGTATGATAAGAACTTTTTCCATACTTTGAAATTGTATGATAAGCATTTTTCTTCTATGGACGTCAACCCGGGTAATTAGTCCGCATATCATATAATTTCATAGCAACTGGGTAATGCGAACCAGCATTTAGTTGCCAAAGTTCGGAGCTGGGGAAAGGAAAAAGAGCTTGTTTTAAAAATTCCATCCCCCTCCGGACAAATCCTAGATCCGCGTCTGGTTTGAATTAACAACGCGTTCAAAAAAAGAAGATGATAAGCACCAATGGATTTACCACCAGGGGAGGAGGGAATTCGACCCCCTGCCGACCCAAAGGGTCCCCATTTGTACAATTTTGAGATATCCATTATTGGTGACGGACCCTAAAACTTTTCTGAAGGCGCCTTCGAAACCAATATACTCTAATTTCGAGGGGTGGAGCGCGCGCGGAAAAAAAACGCAATTTTTTGGTCAAAATTTTCCAAAAATTGTCTAATAACGCCTTTTTTGGTCTGTTTTTTTTTCAAAATTTTGCCTGAGGCGCAGAAAATTTGGTCGAAATCGGGTCTTTATAGTGATTTAGGAAGGCTCAGAAAATCAATTTGGTCGACGCGTCGACCTATAGAAAAAAAAGTCGACAAAAATTTCAATTTTTTTTTGAAAATCCGCCCCCCCCCCCTCGAGCAAACTTAGATCCGCCCCTGATGCTAAGTTACTTTTGCGGAATACTCCAATATGAACATATGTTTTTTGAAATATTACACCCACCCTTCCTGAGAAAGGTAGAATTTAGAGTCTGCTTACGCCTCCCTTCACTCTACGCACTAGGCAAATACTATCTATTGCAGCAATGGATTGCAAATTAACTCAAGAATCGAACACAAAGGGGCAGGCCATAGAGTTAGGGCCATAGCTGATAAGAAAGTTTAACCACAAACACCCTTAATGTCCACTTTAACTTCTATGAACTGAATCCGAAACGGAATTCACAAATCACTTATAGTTTTCAAACTACAGAACCCTAATTACGTAACAGATGTTACGCAATCGGGTTACGCAACAATAAGGCAACCATGACAAGAGCGAAACCAAATGTTTCACAATGGGTCAGGACACTAGCAGCGTTTGTTTTTAGCGACTAATGGCCGCTTGGTGCAATTGATGTAGCGAGTTCATGATGCATCGAATAGTGTTGCAAGATCTTACTGCTAACTTTTGCTAACTCGAAGGTATGTGATGACAGTACTTTTTGCAAACTTGATGAAGTGACTTGACTAACTCTGAATCGAAAGTTAAAGTTCACCGTGATCTGTTAGGTGAACGCTCGGCTAAGAGAGCTTCTAGATCAATTGGTTAGTCATATATGTCATCGGATTCAGATTAGAGACTAAGTTTTGCACTGCAGCGATTATTGCCATCAATCATCGGATTATGCAATACAAAGCACAGCTCACTAGCTCAAGTTCAAATATTCCATTGCGATAAGTCGAGTTGAGTTGTTTGATCGTAGCAAATATCCCCCCTCGCCACATGGTCTAGCTAAGCCTTCAGTTACCAAATAGTGACTAGTTATGGTTAAGTTATAACATTTAATAGCTGCATTACCAAATGATACCTAATGAAGGTAATATGACTTTGTTGTGAGGTAATGTGTTATGTAACTGTTTGCATAATTGCACTGTTTGTATGACCACGAGTAAGTCCGAAGTCCGATCACGACTCGTCTCAATGGCATTAGTCTGTAGTAAACGATGGCTTGTTGGTTTACCGAGATAGTGAAACTTCTGAGCTGAGTAATCATACCATAGTATCACCCCCCCCCCCCCCCCCTCATTGCACAATTCTGAATGAAATTGACCAATGAGAGTTGAGCTAATTGTAGGATGTAGGTTTGGATTGTGTGTGAGCAAACAAGCGACCACCTCTCGTTGCCACCTCTCTCTTAAATTCATTCTGATCAGCAACTTCTCGAATCTAGTCAGTCCTCCTGATTCTATAATTCTAACTTTCTCTCCTTCAACAATCTACTCAACATCACCAGTAAGAAATTTTATAAAATTGTTCAAAATTAATCCCAAAACACAGCTACATTCTTGATTTGGCTGTCATTTTCCTCAATCAAGATAATTTTCTGCCATCCAAAATTCATTGATCGGTTCCGAAAACTATCAAAAGTTCACATTGAACGCGCGCAGGGAAGTTAAGGTAGTAAAAAAGGGGGAATCTTAAATTATACATAAGGCAGTGATTTTGATCTGCTAAGAATCGCGACATTGCAAAGAAAGATTTTATAATGGTTTGTGTTGATTTAATTATGTGTTTAGAAATGGTCGACGCAGTCAAACAGACCCTCAACGAGTTCCTCCACGACGATGCCAAACTCAGCGAACTGATCGAAGAGACATGGGTAAGGCACACTTTACTTATTGTCTTCCATTAATAACCATTAGGGTACAAATATGGGATCAAGTTAACTTCCTCCCCCCCCAAATAGACCAAGTTAACATCCCCCACCCCAGCGTTCATTTTAATTTAAATCTACTTAGCGCTGCATGTAAAATGCTATTTTCTGATTGGGTGAAAACTCGAGCTCAGAACTAAGGATGTTAACTAGGTCCCAAATATACTATTTGTGTCCCTAAAACTTCGTTGGTTCCCTCAACAATTTTTTGTGCTTAAAATCTTCGGAAACAGAGAAAACATTTTTGTTTTCGAAGTTTTCTCGAAAAAGGCATGGCCCATCTTTCATACTTGCCTATTTCAGGGAACCAATTATCACAATTGCACCAATACCCGCATAAGAACCACAATTATTATTTACACTTGGATAGATTGTTGTTCTACATACTAAATGTTCTACAGCTGATATGGGTTACACACGGAACTAAGAAGAATTTTCTAAAAGTCAAATTTCTTCCACGATAATTACTTAATTATTTTTTGTGTTTCAGCCCAACGTAAGTGTTAAAGTATTAAGTTATTGCATCCACTTGATTTCATCGTTATTTTGTCATAATGCTAAACAACTTCGAAATTTCAAAGAGATAGAGATCGTTGATAAGTCGAGACCATATTTTTTCACAACCCGGCCATTAACATTAATGAAATCGAATTAAATTATTTTATTTGAAATGACTAGAACTGAATTGAACAGAATTGTGTTGGGTATGGATGGCTTGTTGTTGTTAGTTGCTTATGGTATGAATGACTCAGAGAAAAGGGTTGATTTGTTCGAATGAAGATTTGCTGGGTGTTTTAGAAGGACGCGGAGAAAGTTACTGTGAAGGAAATTCAGCCCAACCTCAAGCAATACATCGACCAACACGATAGTGTAAGATAGAATTAATCATTACAACTCAATAACTATTTAATAAACACATCAATCAAGCATTAATCAAAATTCTCAAACTAACAAAATAAAAATTATGTAGCTAAAAATATGCCATTTGAATAGAAATCGAAGAGATTCGAGTGAATGTTTCATTTACAAAGACCTGGTACTAGAGACCATAGTTTCTTTTACAGTTTTTATCCGTTTGAGCGTTGATTTGTATCCATTTTGAATTTATAAGTTGGCAGTTTGAAACTTACTGCTTCGATCTGAATCGAGCTGGTATGTGTGTTGATTTAGATCATACGTGATTTTTGTACCTTGTAACGAATCCCTCTTTGCAATAGGGGTAGTATGATTCGATACAAGATCCATCACTAATCAATTTAATTTGTATTGTATAGGGGGCAGTTCCCGAGGCTAAGAGGGACGAGCTGAGAACGAAATACTTCGCCGCTCGGGCCGACGAGGAACTGGACAAGGCAGGCTACAAGGCATTCCTCAAGGACCTCCTCGCAGATATAGCTGCCCAGTTGTAAACAACAACAATAACAATAATAAATAACTAACAACAAAATCGATCACTTCCTTTTGTAACATCCATCTTCGACGCTCTATTTTTCTCTTCGCCCATTGGTCCACGACAAAACACGACACGACTCGAACTGAACCGACAAAACTCGACACGAATTGAGCCCAAAAGACAGCTCATGACAATGAGACCCTTCATGACAACTTATACATTTCTTTCCTCTCTTCTCGGCTGTACTAAACCGACTAATGACCATCATGAAATTTCAAGACTACCAGCTGCACTGTCCAAAACAGAACGGAACAAAACGAACTTTCCAAATTAAATTCCACTTCGCTACTTTTCACCAAATTGGGCCTTTTTTAATTTTTCTATTCTGAATATATAAATTGATACTTGATGATATTTATTTGAGACATGCTGAAGTGAGCTCTCAGATGTCCATTAATTTAGTTTTGTAACTATTTATACCAACAAAATAATTTGGTTCTATAGAAAATTGGGTAAATTAAATTTTCCAGCTCTGATATTTTCTTCCGAACAAAAATTCACCTAAAGCCTTTTTACGAAATTAAATTTTGAATTGCTAAGTGTCAAACACGTTTTGCGTCAATCAATTAACTGATTGAAATTAAGGTTCCGGAAAACGGGGGAGACACTTTTGTCTTCGGGTTTGTTTTAGTTATTTTTTTCCATAAAAATCAGGTACCACAAATAACCATCGGAATGGTGCAAGCAAAATACATATACAGACTTTTCAGCCGTGATTCAAACGACATATAAAAAATTTCAAGATTTGAGAAAAACAGAGTCGAGAAATTTTTTAGTTTCAGCCTAATTTCGAACAAATCTTTCTCGAAAAATCACTCACTCAAAATCAGACAAAGCTTTCATTTAAATCGTGTAATTTTAGATTTACTCCGGGAAAGATTAGTGTCGGAATTTTCATTTAACGCTTCCTTGGAAATAAAAAGTTTTTACACAATTAAATAAATTGTTTTTACTATTTTTTTAACGTGTTGTTCTTCTTTTTAAAACCTGTTATTCTTGTTAAACATTTAACACAAGCGAAACGTATACTGAAAAACGCTCAAGCTTCCAAAATTGTAATTCAAATTTTCAAAATGAGTTTTTACGTCTAAGACAAACTATAAAACTTAAATAAGTTGATAAAAATTGAACTGAGAGCGGTTCAAAAACTCGTTAATTGAGTGAGCCATTTTGTAAAACAAACCATTTTGTCAATAAGCTGTCTGCAGTAAATACTTCTTGGTTTTCAAAAATTAAATTCTTCCCGCATAAAATTGAATTGTTAAAAAACGATAAATATTGTTCTGACCGTGGAAAAGCAAGGAACTATAGCTTAAGTGGTACAGGCAAAATCAAGTGCCTCAACTAAGCGTCAGATGGGATCGAGGTTCCATATTGTTTCATCATATATGCTTTGGACAGCGTTTTTTAAATTTTCTTCTTTTTTAAAATGACAACGCTTTGCCATAATGTTGTGACCAGCAGGTCTGCTACGTTATCAAAAACTGTTTCTTATCAGTTTAAAAAAGCTGTGCTAACTTACTCAACCGCAGACTTCGTTTTTATGTAGAGGAAAAAGTTTTTTGATTCATCTACAAAAATGTTCAATTCCGAGGTTCAGTTCGAAGATAAAATGTCGAGAAACACAATCATCAGCATTACAAAACCCTCAAAATTCCTTCCCGATAGGCAAATGTAGCTGTTAATACCTTGGTAGACGCCTTTTTAACGGAAAAATGCTTAGGGGGTAAAAAAAATTAAAGCAATACACTAATGATCAATCTGAATCATTTTACTTCATTTTGAAACATGTATTAATTTTAAGAAAAAATATTCAATCTAAATTTCCTCACAGAGGCGAAGCAGAGCTCTGCATCACTTGCGATACAATTATAGTGTAGCATTGAAGCTACCAAATAGACAGCATGAAGAAGAAAAAAACTAAGCTGAAAAAAAAACACGAGAAATGCAAAAAGTAGCATTAAATAGGCTTTTGGTATTTTCCCAGCGTTCACTAAGTCAACAACGCGTAGTTAGACATCAATTAATCCGAAATAAATAAATGCAAAAAGAAAAGATTAAAAAAGTTTGCGATAAAAAAAAAGATTTCACCTTTTGCACTACCAATCACCTTGATTTTTTTAAAAACGAGAATATTCATTTTTTATTGTTAAAATCGATAACACATGAGCCGAAATTAAAAAGGCCAAAAAAATTTTCTAAGCGAAAAAACACAAAAAAAGAAAATACATCAGTCAGTGATAGTATATTTAACAAACTACAGGAGTTAATCAACGACATTCAATTACTATGAAACTGCTTAAAGAGCAAAAAATTGTGGTGTGCCAGTTAAGACAAACAAAACAAAAGCCGATAAACTATAGCGCGACTATTCAATTTTTCCCATAAAAAATTAATTTCAGAAACCAAAAAAAGGTCCGACCGGGACTCGAAACCCAGACCATAGGGTGTAACAGTGTAAGAAAAGTTGTTTATGGGGAAAAGGTCTAGTTTCCGATTACAAGATTCCTGCTGTCGCAAATGCAATAATCAATTTTCGCCTCAACAGCCCTGGTTTAAACTTCTGGGCTACCTGCCAAGCAGCTGGCTATTGTAATGTTTAATTTTAATCCATTTTTAAGTTCTAAAAATTATGAAGCCCTACATTTTGAAACATAAAAAAGCGTATTTTTGGATCTTTATGGTTTTACAGAGCCTAGCTTGCAGCTCCTCGCGAATGAAACGAATTTAAAATCGCAGCTTCTAAATTAATCAGTAGTAAAAACTGAAGCTGAGCGTTAAGAAGTTTTCAATAAAAACACGCTATATGATTATGTGACAATTTGCTATATTGACTCTTAACTATTCACTCTTAAATCTCGCCTAAAAACTATCTGAATAAAAAAATTTTCCCAGTTCAAGGAATATCCAATTTTATTGATTGAAAAACGAAATTTTTTATTAAAAAAAACGGAAACTTTCACTAAAAACTTGCAACTCAATTTCCCACCGAAAGAGGGCTGTCATAACTGGCATTAAGAACGTAAGAAAAAAGCTAAACTTTCAAAGCATTTCTTTAACTAGGCCGACGAGATATAAGCAGACAGACGATGGTCCCACGAAGCTGAAACTTGCAAAAAATAGGTCGCGCCCAACAGGTTGCTTAATCTTGACATGTTTTATTATCTTTATCTTTAAGGTAACAAATAAGAGCATAGGACTTGACTTGATAGAAACTGAGTACAGGGTTAAGTATGTGAGTTAATTTAAACAGTAATTCGAACTCAGTTTCGCTTCATATGCCCGCGCCATTAATTTAGTCGCACTGTTCGCTTTTCGTTTGTGAACATTCAAACTCTTGACCTCAATGTCATTTTCCGATCCCTTCTGACAAACGTTAACATTATAAACCGAAGGCACCTCAGCATAACTACTTGGCGTCAATTTTTTCAATGCAGTTGATTTCGTTATCATCAAAGCTTTCGCTTCTGCTGGTTTTGTATTGGTCATCTTGTGTTTGTGCAGTTTTGAGTAACCTTTCCTGTTTTCGCTGAGGTAATCTTCGTGGGTGATTCCTACAATTTTGTTTTCTTTCAGTGGCGCCTCTTTCTTTATTTGGAAGTTCTCATGTGAGAAGTTGGGGTTAAATTTCTCCAGAATTTGCTTAAACGCCAGAATTTCCTCTGGTTCGTCTGTGTCCAAGTGGTCCACAGTATCCTCATTCGAATGGTACCCCTCACTTGAACTACAACTCAAAATTCCCTCTTTCTTTTTCTTGTATCTTTCTTCTTCTCTTTCGCGTGTTGCCTCCTTATTTCTTATTTCCTTCTCAAACCTTTCATCTTTTATTTCTTTTTCGTTTTGAAAAGATAATACAGGTTTTTCATTCAGGTCCATTTTGTACAATGCATTCGTGATGGCACTAATTTTGGATGTGGGCTTGGGAGGATTAAATGTCCTTGGCTGATGGATATTTGTCCTCTTTCGCTTGAACTCCCTCATCAGTTTTTTGTGCAGATCTTCGCTCGATGCAGGATCACTTCCTTTAAAAATGAGAACAGTAAGAAACGCATTTTAAATCAAGAGCACCAAGCAGATTTATTTAATTAATTAATTCTGAAATTGTTTAAGATTTTACTTGTAATCACTATGAACTAATACTGCATAACCAGTTGATTCAGGAGTCGTTAAGATCGTATTTCGACTACACCGAGATTACCTTCGTCTACACTTAGCTGGAAAACAAGGCGGATCTTGAATTATCCGGCCAAAACAAAAAAAATTGTAACTTTGAACAGAATTTTATCGAATTGGGTGCATTATGGACTAGGGCTGCCCGGAAGCTGCTTTTTGTGCAACTTTATTTGCGAAATTTTGACCCTAAACATAGGTCTTCCAAGGGTTCATTAGTCTGATCCAGCAAACGAAAACATTTTTGAAGAAGTTTCAACATGAATGTCTTTACTTGGCAAAAGAAAGTCAAAGAAAAAGGATTGGCAAAGTTTGAGAATAAAGATGAAATATATATTTTGCGGTTGAGCGTAATTTAGAAAAAGTAAAATCAGCGTGTATTTCATTAAAAAAATTTCTTAATTTGACTTTTTTGTAAGAAGCTAAACAACGTGAAAAACGGAAAGAAAGAAAAAGTGAAGTAAGCCTTGAAACTTTGACTGTACCGGAACCGATTCTCCAACCTAGAGACTAGAACTCTCATGTCCTCGCATCTGTGCCATGATCGTATGCGAAATTAACCAAAAGATACCGTTGCGTTTAAATTGTCAATACTATGCAACCAAAATACCACGGTCGCTCAAAATAAACTGAAACTAGCCACGAATATAGCAGATACAGATGCTATGAAATTGCCAATGCTTTTAATTGTACCAAAAAGGACATCAAATGCGCCTTTTTATTTGTGATTTAACTTGAAAACTAAGTTTGCTTAGTAGTATTATATTACGTTCCGTTTGTGTAAATAAGCGTAGAATGAAACGAGGCGCATCAAACAATGTCACTTGCGAACATGAACAACAATGCTGAAGTTGGAAAAAACAAGCGATATTGATTAAGACAAAACAACAGCGAAAATCAGTACATAATTTTAAAATGATACAAGCCACGTTTCTCGCAATAAATTGATTTTGATCTGAATTACAGCTCAATGTTACAGAGCACTTTTTGGTTATGGTTTTAAACTTTTTTTTTCACATGCCTTATTAAATACATAAAAACCTCAAAAAAAGACAATTAGACCGATACAAATAAATTTAGAACACTTAGAAAATTTATTTATCGCTTCAAGTCTTCCATATTAAGGAAATCATTTGCAATTTGTTAATAGTAGTTAATAGTACGCGCTGTTAATAGTAGACCATTAACCAAATCACAACAAAAATTCAAAATCAGAAACAAATCAATAGAAACACTAAAATTCAACATCCGATAAAATCGCGAACAAATTTCATCTCGGCAAATTAAATTGAAAATCATTCCCAATCGGAAAAAAAATCGTATTACTGGCTTTGGAAATTTAGGAGGTGTCCTCAACTATTTATATCCCTACAAAATTGTTAACGGATATTTGTTTTTATCTAACAGTACCTATTCAAACGTGGGTTCGTAAGTAACACTAGGCTGCTCTTTATTTCCTCAACGGATGGATCAAAATATTTGATTGTTATAAATTTGGTTTTTTAGATTTGGTCAAAAGATTGTGGCGAAAAGAGGAACAAAAAATTTGCAATGTTCTACTTTTCGACTTCTACGTTTCATTTGCAATTAATTGCTAAAGGCCTCCTCTCCTGGCAACAATTTTAAAACGCGCCCTATGACCAAGGTTCCTGAAACTTTATTAAGCACTGAAGCTGAAAAAATGGTCGATTTTCAATTTGGTGCCACTGTTTCATGAAGGCGAAATTATTTTTGGTCAGTATTTCATTTTTGACTTTTCAACTTTGAGTTTGTGAAAGATATTTGATACCTGACTAATTGATAGCTTGCTAAAAAAACAATTTTTGCTTAGAAAATTACGAAGTGAAATTGATTAAAAAAGAACTGGATCTATCCAATAAGGTTACTCCAGGATACTTAGTAAAGATTTAGCTTTAAAATTTAAATTGACCTAAAAACAGCGGGAGGGGATCAAGAACATTTTTACATTGACAAACGGTTCCATCACATCTTAGAGCAAGAAATCTATTTGAAAATTTCGGGCCAAAAAGAAACATGGAAACTGCAATGAACGAATTTTCTTTAAAAAAATTGCATCTTGTTAACTATTTCCCCCTTTTGGACCTTGTTAACTATTTCCCCCCTTTTGGACCTTGTTAACTATCCCCCCCCCCCTATGCATGTATTATTTTTGACATACATTTCTTTATAAAATATGCACTTCAAAAATGTTTTTATTTTCGCGCGTTCGTATTTGTATAAGCTACTATTCATATAGTACCTACATAAAAAAAATTAATTAAATATATTTTCTGAAAACTTTCTAAGATATTGAAAATGTGACAGCCAAAGTTGAATTTCTGAAAATCAAAATAGGGTGGAAACAGTTAACAAGATACAAAAAATCGACTTCTAGACTTTTTAGGACTACCAAATAGATTTTCCGAGCTCTTCCACATCACCAAAAGACCCTATTTTGAGAAAATGTTCTGCGCTGCAGGCGGTTTTTGGAAAACACGGCCAAAAAACGCGTTTATAGGCAGTTTTTGGAAAGTTTTGACCGAAAATAGCGTTTTTTTGATGCACGCTCCCCCTAAAAATTAGTATGTAAGGCTCCTTAGAAATTTAAGTTTAGGGCCAGTCAGCTCAAAATAGGTCTTAAAATAGTACCAACGGGGGGACCTTTTGGGCAGTCAGGGGGTCGAATCCCTGAGGTTGTAAATTTAATGCTTATGCAGAGAAATGCAACAGATAACAGGAACACTTTCCTGCCATCGGTTACTTACTGGGTGCGTTTTTAGCTGGCTTAACAGCAGTCGTGTTCATTGTTCCCATTGTCCACAACTTTCGCATGTCTCGCACAGAGGGACGAATTTCGAGCTGTTCTAACTCCTCGGGTGTGAACAAACTCTCCCCTTGATCCTGTTGCACTTTCGTAGGAACTTTCTTGTTCCGATACCCCTGACACCCATGATTGTTCGGAACAGGGGGTGGGGGAGGTGGCGCTGGCGGCGGAGGCACCGCAATCAAGTCGATTTCAGAATTTTTGACATTTTCAATGCAAGACTCCATTTTAAGATCCTATTAACACACTATTAAATTTTGCTTTCTTATCTCGACCATCAGAAACGAAACAAATTTGAAAATAAATCTCTATTATAGTAATATAATTAAATTTGATTGATTCGAATTGAAATTTAACAAAATGATATCTTCAGTCAAAACAACAATTGCATTAAAAAAGAAAGAAATGTCGTCGACAGAGAGAAAGGGGCTGGTGGTGTTTATTGTATATGTAAGTTCATGTTTGCATTTATTTGTTCAATTGTGTAGTGCTCTTGTTATTATTTATGCTGATCTGATGTACATTGTTCGTTTGCAGACACCAATGTCTCTTCTGCCACTGAAATTGAGATGAAGAGATAGAAGAACAGAGTAGGAGAAAGTAGACAGCGGATGTGTATTGTTTCTCTTCGCTTCAGTACCATCCATTTTGATCGTATCGTCGTCACTTCAGTTGTCCAAACAAAGCAACAAATGATACTTTTGATGACATCACCGAACTAGTTTTTATTCTAATCGCGTGGGTTTAGTTCGGAGGTGGGTTCCACACATCATATATTTTGGCCAATTCGTAAAGGATAAGGATATGTCAACATTTTCTGCCAGTGTATAATTAATTCTGCAGCCTTTTCTCGATAGTTTGCGGTCGACAGTTTAAATCGGTTGCCCAGACTAGTTCGTTTAAGACCCTGGTGCAGCAGGCGGAGGAATCGCCGGCCGCTGCGAAGGAGGTTTATCTGAAACAAAATCAAATTTTCCGCATCAATTTTCATTATTTTTGATCTGTTGAATAAATGATTTTAGAAAACACATAGGATTGCAAATTTTTTATAACTAGAATATTTTGAAAAATCTAAAATATTTTTAAGATAGCTAATAGTTCAGGCGAGCTGCACCGCTCGTACTTTGTTTGAAAATAAGATATGATTATATTAACATTCACAAAGTTAGAAAGAACTAAGTCATAGATCGGGTTTTTTTCCGCGCAATTATAGTTACAAGACAACGCAAAATAGGGCAAGTGCTGTGCTTTGCTATTCGCAAAGCCATATTGGCCACAATTCGAATTTTCAAAAAAAAAATCGAATTTCATCAATCTACTTTAAAAAAATATCAGATCATTGGTTCAATATCAGTTGCATTCTTGTAATAAAACGACACTTCTGCGTTTTTACGCATAGTACCATAACAAAGTTCACTTAGTTCAAGGGTCTAAGTCGAGCTAATGGAACTCATAGTCAAAATATGATACAGTCAAGCGTTTATAGAAATGCTACTGCGATATTACGTAATAAAGGAAAACCCTCGCTTGTTTCAGTCATAAATGTTTTTGCTATAGGAAGGACATCAGCTTTGAGTTTATGCATTTCGAATCATGTCCCAATCGACAACTTGAAACGGACTTTTGAAAAGCAACCACGATGACGTAAAGCAGAATGATGATTGCTCGGTTCGAAGTTGAAACTCTATGTTCTGCTGCAGAAAATATACCCAAGAGATAAACCAAAGACTTCTATACGTACTAAAAACGGGCAATAAAAAAACAACGACAAGGTTGATACTAATTCTATCATAACAACGATGATGCTGATGATGATGAAGTTACTTACTCTGTGAACTTTTGGAGGGATAGCTCTTCTTGATATCTTTGAAGGGGGGAGGAGGGGGAAAGTCGTCCACCCACCTGAAGCGCCTCTCAAACTCGTCTATTGTGTTGTCGGGTAGCACCGAATCTATCGCAGTACAGAACAGTTTAGATTTCAAACTTAATTATTTTAAATTTAATCCTACCAAATCACAAGCTTCATACCAAATTTTCTTTGTTTTATACAATAATTAATGTTTTATAAAGTCTTCTGAAGTTAGCAAATGTGTCCAGTATCAGCCAAAAAAATGAACAAAGCCAACGAAACAGTGCCAATGCACAAAGAATTTTGATTAAGATTTTTTCCACATACGGATTTCAAAAAAGACATTGAAGCTCATCGAGCTTCAAGAATCTTTTATGATGGCTACGTTCTTCATAGAACTAACATCCTTAGACAAACTGGGTAAATTTTTCATTCCGATAGAATTTCTGAAACTTAAACTAGAATTTGAAACCAAATATTGATACTTTCCCGGATTAATTGCTCTGTCCGTGTAAAAAATGAACTTTTCTAGAAAACTAAACTTTTCTTGAAAATAGACATTTCAGAGAGCGAATATCTAAACTTGCTTAATTTTGCCAACTGTTGAAAAACAATTCGAGCTTTTTCGCGCCAATTGCACTTGTGTTAATGAAGAGCGTAATTTGCTTTCCTTTTAGCAAATGTCAAAAAATTAAATTGGAAAAAGATAGCCAACTGACAGCTGGATAAGAGGAAGAACATTTTTTTTAATTTCGAATTTTAAAGCAAAAACAGATAGCATTGACTAACACTTGATTTCAAGACGAAGTTATGATTGAAACTTTTTTGAAAAATTAACTCAAATTGAGAAAACTGGATAAATAGATAAATGTTTTTCCGCTGGAAAACCTCAAAACCAAATTCCATTTCAAAACTAGAAGTATTTCGCGTTTTTGCGCGTTATTTCGACGATCGTATTTGAAGAGTTCAATTTACCTCAAAAGTAAATTCCATTTCGAAACTAGAAGTATTTCGCGTTTTTGCGCGCCATTTCCACGTTCGTATTTGCAGAGTTCAATTTACCTAACTTTCAGCAGATGAATATATATTGAACTCATTAATATGTATGAGTGCACATCTGTAGTTTAAAACTTTTCACTTAAAAAATCACCAAGACCTATATAAGTCTTCACTGCGTCCTTTACGTTGATTCAAAAAACCAAAAACAAGGATGTTCCTATGCACAGAATATGTTGTCTTTTTTTCGAATTAGTGAGGTTTTTGTTTGCGGTGCGATAAAGGCTATAAGAACACGTAAAATGTTAGTGAATTAGGAATTATAGACAAAATTTGTCTGCTTTCTGCGAGAAAAAAAATGAAAGCATTTTAGAAATTTTTCGCGCTTAACAGTTTTTTCGAAATCCTGTTTAAAATCTTTTAATTGCCAAAGAAGCGCTAACTGATTCTTCCAAAACGAATTCTTCTAGATTAAAACTAAGTTTTCACTACTTGACTAAAATTTTCATTTGTAAGACCTTACTCGCTCGCCTTACTCTAAATTACACTACAACTAAGTTTCGAATCGGTTTTTCTCAACACCGGGAAAACTTTTTGAAAATTGTTCAAAGTCGTTCGAATTACGACACAAAGGCTTCAATATGATCTATCACTCGAATCATTCCGAATTGTGGAAATATTTTATTATTTGTGGTACCTCATTGTGCGTTGAAAACGAAAAAAAAACTGAAAATGGTCGGAACAAAAACCAACCGACCTAAATAAATGATCAGTCAATTCGTCATTAGCACTCAAAAAAATAAAATAAATTCAAATTCATGACTCACCCATTGATTGAGGCGGAATATTACTCAGCTTGCGTCTAAACAAAACGTGGTTGATAATGAATGTTATATGGAGGCAAAACGCAGAATACATAACCATAAATTCAGTTTAATAATTAGCATGAGGATTCGATTATGAAGTTAAGCCTTAAGTAAGGTCCTTCAAATCATTCTTGTAAGAGTGTACTTTTCAAATTTTCAAACACTGAGTGTGTGCATCTAGTTGGTTTGCAACTCCCCGAAAATAAGCAAAACAGCTGGTCCTAAGTTCTCATTATTAATATATCAAGGTCATGGGCGGATTTAAGATTTCCTCGAGACAGCGAAGGGGGGGGGGGGGTTGGGAGATTATAAAAAAACGTCTCAAAATTAGTATACTCTGTAAGGGAAGGCGCTTTATAAATTTTCAAGAGTTGGTTAGCTAGGATTGGATGTCGCAAAATAGTACCAAATAGGATCCCTTTGGGTGGCCAGGGGGTCAAATCCCTGAAGGGATCCCTGATCAAGGTGCTCATGTTTTTACTCAACTATTACAGACACCATGTATAACTTAAACACGCATTTCCTTAATTTCAGATCAGTTAATGAGGTTAGTTAAACTGAATTGCTTCCCGATTGACGACTAACATGAAACGGACTGTTTTTAAACGAACTTGCGAAACACCCTTGAGTATAAGAAACTGGTGTTAAAATAACACTAGTGTTGAAGCTGATGATTGCAGACCCTTACCCGGTGGAAGAGCCATTGCGGTTGTGGAAGTCTGTTCCGTTTGGAATGGGAGGTGCCGGGTGTGATGGTGGCGGCGGAGGCGTCCTCCCTCTCGCATTTGGGGCTTGAGGAGCAACCCGACTTGGTATCGGCTGCGGCGCTCGTTGAGACACTGTGAACAAAGTTTAGATTGTCGGTTTTTTATGTTTTATCGCAGTTGCAGACAGTCAATAGAAATCCAAATATTTCCTTCGTCTATCCGCTTTGTTGATATAATGATTAATTCACTAATATTTCGTATAGCACAAATTACATATTAATCTTTTTTTTGGCTTTCAATAATTTCTAATGTTTGATCAACCGTACAATATCGCTGCTCAAATCAATTCAGGTGATTTAGAAATATGGCTTCAAAAAAGCTAATTTGAGTCGAAATTAAACTCTAACTTTTAAAATAAATTAATAAATATTTCATTTAGTGACCAGTAGTAAAAAAAAAATAAAAACTTTATAGAAAATCATCTTTCAAAAACTAATACTTTTTGAGAGGATAATCAACAGTAAGTCACTCATGGGGGAGAGAAGTTGTACGGTTGACGTACACCGTGTCAATGTGTGTATGTATATATATGAGCTTACTTGGTGGGTGTGAAACAGGGGGTGTGATTGGAGGGGGCGGTGGTCGATTTGGCCTCATGAGAGGGGGTCTCATAGGGGGTGGCACTGCAGGCGGCTGTCTGGCCGATGGGCCACCTGCACCTCCCGGATGCGGCTGTACCCTGACGGGTGGGGGCTGACTAGGTATTGAAGGCACTGGCGGAGGCGCTGGTCTGTGGGATATCGGAGGTCGCGTAATTGGCACTTGCGGCCTGGTTTGGTTTGGCCTCGATCTGTCTTCTTGAGGTGGACTTGGTCTAGGGGCGGAGGGGTTCACGTTAGGCGCAAAGGGCGATGGCACAGGTGGTGATGGTTGCGTGTTTGGTGTCGTCACTCTTACAGATGGGCTTGTCACTGGGTTAGCAGCAGGTGGGGTTGTGGGAGGAGGCTTGGGAGAGGCGACCCTTCCCGTAGACACTTTTCCTTCTGTCTTTTTCAATCCCGCCAAAACTAAATAAATGGACTGTAGTTGGAAATACTTTATAACAAAAGGGCGAAGCTTCGCATCACTTTCTATACAAAACATATTCAAAAACGCACAACTGATATAAGACGTTACTTGAAGACCCCGAAGTCAGTAGCATAAAACATAGCCATCAGACATTTGGAAAAGAGTCGATGCACTCCGGAAAACAGAAAAAAATTACTGATTAACATTCTGACACAGACCAAAAAGCAACTCTATCAAGTTAACTAAAAAAAAAGTAGAAATGGGCCTCGAATTAGCAAAACTCGGCAACGTGAAGGATTCGAATCTGCGACCTACTGCAATCAAGAGATTTTTATTCTCATGCACTATCCCTTCAGCCACTCAAGCTACAAACGCTAGTCACGAATAAAGCAGCTACATATGCTAACAAATTAACAACCGACAAATACTAGTCACGAATAAAGCAGCTACATATGCAAAAAAATTGCCAATGCGACTCAGCACCAAATACAAATAGTCAATTTTGCAATTAATAATTTGGAATATAACAAACTGAAAGCATCCACACTATTTTTGCATGTAACAAATCCCAAGGAATAAAGCCACATTATGTATAAATTAAGCATTTCAAAAAAATTGTGATATATTGAGTTAGAAAATTTTTGAAATCGAGTTTATATTATTGTGATGTTTTTGAAACAAATAGCTTTTTTCGGCTCATTTGATAAAATAAAAATGCATCAACTGTGTCAATTTATTATTATTCGAATGTCAAACCACATGCTATCAAAAAGCTGTAAAGATGTCCCACCATTATTGCCGTACCGCACCAATTTTGCGATTTAGGTTGGAAAAAAAAGAAGGTTCGCAAGTAAAATTGTTTATTTTCAATTTCGAATTTCCAAGAAAACTATGACATTGAAGCTCTTGACACTTATCATTGACAATTTTATGCTAAAGTTTACCCTATTTGAGATAACTGGATAAAAATGAAAAAAAAATCCACTGGAAAGATAATAATCAAATTCCACTTTCTAAACTGAGAAGACTTTCACGCTTTTTCGCGTCGTTTCCTCTTCTTAAGTGAAGAGCATTATTTTTCTTTTTAGCAAATAAATTTGATTTGAACGCAAAAATGAACCATCAAACTTAACTTAATCAATGAAAAAAAAATAGACTAATCCGTAAAAGTTATGACCAAAATTCAAGACGTTTTCCTGAAACAAGCAGGAAAAACTGCAATGTCGCAATAAGTGTCAGCTGACACTGAAAAATGAAATACCAACTAATTAAAAAAAATTATGTTGGACAAAACCAATTTCATAAATCTCAGAACCTTCCATTGGTTACATTCTGAGGCTTTGATGTTGGTTTCGCTCGACAAAAATAAAATCCAAAACAAAAACACAAGGAATGCTGTTTACTATGCATGAATTTTCCCATCACACTTGTCTAAAAACTTTGAAAAAATTAAAAAGAAGAAACAATTTTTTTTCAATTTTTGATCATTTAACAGTAGCTGTTTTGTGAAGGCTGACTGAATTAGATGAAAAACTGCAAAAATGAGAAATAATAAGAGAAGTAACATTGAGTTTAAAGTAGAATTACGATGAAAACATTTCTCGCTTCGGATACTTTCTCAAAGTTAGACGGGAAAGCGAAATTTAAAGCCTGTTTTTCTCAACACTAAGAACATAGCCAACAGACACTTTTAAAAAAAGTCAATGAACGCAAGTAAACAAAAAAAATAACTAAACTTTTTTTGAAAAAACTTCAATTTTCGAACTTCAAAGCAAAAATAGATGGCCTTAATCAATTCTAAAAGTATTTTTGATTGAAAATTTTTTGATGATTAAATTAACCCAATTTGACTTGTAAACCCCAAATTGAACTTTCGAAACAGAAGTCGGTCTCGTTTTTTTGTGATCTTTACACTTTTGCAGGTCGATAGTGGAGTTTGCCTTCCTTTTGACAAAGAAAAAGAACTGAACTTGAAAAGAAATCAAAAGTCAAACTGCGAAAAAATAAATTTGAGACTGAACAAACTTTAAAAAGTCATTAACAAAAACTTCATTAAAAAAAGTCATCGCGCCCTATATAATAACTTGTTCATCGCTTCAGACATATTTTTAAACGTCCTTCTATTTACGACCGAAAAGGCTTTAATATGAACTAGCGTTTAACGCACCTCCGGTGCTTCGAAATTTTCCGACAACTCATGAAAAACCGCATATATTGGAAACAACATCTGCAAACTTTTAGTGTACTCTGACTGCACCCAATTACAGGGTTGGTAATTTCGAACTTTTAAATTTTTTTTATTCCCATTTTAAAAGCGTCATCTCGAAAACTTAATGGGCCTCTCGAGAAATTTCCCGAAAAAAAAATTTAAAAAAAGTCTTATCTCGGAAACTAAAAGGACTTGAGCATTCATATTAAGAGGCAAGATTTGAGACGCCTGGGTGTACGCTGACAATAAGGTTGTATCTTCATCAAGCTAGTAGTTTCAAATTTTTTGAATTTCTTTGTAAATAAATTCGAGAAACTTTCAAAAAAAACAAAAAACGCCACATCCCGGAAACTAAAAGCATTTGAGAAGTCGCGTTTAGCAGTCGCATGTGGCAAGATTTGCAACACTTTAGAGTAACCTGCCAACACCGAACTATAGCGTTGGGAATTTCAAATTTTGAAAAATAATTAATTTAAACTTTCCGAAAATTTTGAAAAAATCACAAAAAACGTCACAACTCGAAAAGAATTGAGCAATCATACTTGGAGGCAAGATTCGCAATCCTTGATAGTACTCTAACAGGACCTAACTACAGGGTTGGGAACTTCAGATTTTTAAAAAATAATCATAATTTGAGTTTTCTGAAAATTTTTGAAAAAATCACAAAAATCGTCATATCTCGAAAACTACAATGATTTGAGCAGCCATAATTGGACGCAAGATTCGCAATCCTTGATAGTACTCTGAGAATACCCAACTACAGGGTTGGGAAATTCAGATTTTTGAAAAAATCATAATTGAAGTTTTCTGAAAATTTTCGAAAAAATCACAAAAACATCGTATCTCGAGAACTACAGAGAATTGAGCAGTCATACTTGGAGGCAAGATTCGCAATCATTGAGAGTACTCTGACAGGACCCAACTACAGGGTTGAGAATTTCAGATTTTGCGAAAAAAAATTATTATAAGTTTTCTGAAAATTTTTTGAAAAACCACAAAAATCGTCATATCTCGAAAACTACAAGGATTTGAGCAGTCATAATTGGACGCAAGATTCGCAATCCCTGATAGTACTCTGAGAATGCCCAACTACAGGTTTGGGAATTTAAAATTTTTAAAAAATTGTAATCATTGAAGTTTTCTGAAAATTTTTGAAAAAATCACAAAAAAACGCCATATCTCGAAAACTACAATAAAATGAGCAGTCAGACTTGGAGGCAAGATTCGCAATGTTTGATAGTACTCTGACAGTACCCAAGTACAGGGTTGGGAATTTCAGACTTTTAAAAATCATAATGATTGAAGTTTTCTGAAAATTTTTGAAAAAATCACAAAAACATCATATCTCGAAAACTACAAAGAATTGAGCAGTCATACTTGGAGGCACGATTCGAAACTTTTGATAGTACTCTAACAGTACCCAACTACAGGGTTGGGAATTTCAGATTTTCATAAATCAATGATTGAAGTTTTCTGAAAATTTTTGAAAAAATCACAAAAACATCATATCTCGAAAACTACAAAGAATTGAGCAGTCATACTTGGAGGCAAGATTCGCAATCTTTGAGAGTACTCTGACAGGCCCTAATTACAGAATTTGGAACTTCAGATTTTCAAAAAATAATAATAATTTAAGTTTTCTGAAAATTTTTGAAAAAATCACAAAAAACGTCATATCTCGAAAACTACAAAGAATTGAGCAGTCATATTTGCAGGCAAGATTCGCAATCCTTGATAGTACTCTAACAGTACCCAACTACCGGGTTGGGAACTTCAAGTTTTTTAAATTATTTTGTTATTTGAAATTTCTGAAAATTTATGAAAAGATCTCAAAAATCGTCTTATCTTGTTAACTAAAATGATTCGGGCATTCAAAATTGAAGGCCAAATTCGCAACCCCTAATTCGGTATTGGCTGCTTAATTTAAACTCGGTAAAATAACCACTAAAATCAAATTGGAAAATCGAAAAAAAATTCTTAACCATTGCAATATACGATATAGATTAAACATGCAAAAATAATACGTTGAAAAAGCTTAAACATGGCGAGATAGTGAAGCCCGCATTTAAATATATAATAGATAATAGATTACCACTTGATTCATTCCGATGATTAATTACGGTACCTGATTTTGCGTGGAAAACAAAAAACAACCTACTCGCTGGAAAACAAAAATAGACCTACTCGCTCGCAACCATACTAAAATTGTAAAATTTCAAACCAATTTCCTTGACACCGGAAAATCTTTGTTTATTGTTTATTTTGTTCGAAGAAAACTTTGCATGTAAAAATTAGAATGTATTAAACCAAACTTCGTATATATTATGCATTTCGAATATTTCACGAAGTTTATAGAGTAAGCATATTTTGAAAAAAGATTTTAAGTATTATGCTGATGTATGAAACAAATAGCTTTTTCGGTTCAATTGAGGAATTAAAAAACGCATTAATTGTGTAATCTGAGAACTAATCAAACTTCAAAGCGCATGTTAATATACTACTAATACAGCCTACTAACTCAAAATTGCCACCAAAAGCACTTTTATTTGCGACTTAGGTTCGGAAAAAAAGTTGCATCGTACTATCGCAGTACGCTACGCTCGTGTAAAAACTGGATCAAAAGGACCATTTTTATTCGGCTGGTAGTTCACAAATTCTTCCTTTCACTGCTTAATACTACAAGTCAAGACCATTTTCTTCCGCAATTTACAACTTTGCTATCCAAAAGCGTAATTTACTTTTCACTCAGCAAAGTAATTTGAAGTGAACATAAAAAGAAACCGAAGGTCAAAATAGTAAAATTGAAATTTCAGTGTGAACAAGTTTTGGGACTTGTTCCTGAGACAAAACGAAAAACCACCTAAATAGCGTAAAATTCTGTTGGGTCGTTAAAAAATGCTTTTAAAGTGACTCGATTTCTCACTTAAATATATATCACGCTTCCATTCACTGACTCTACAATGTTTAAGAAAGAATCAATTTTTGAATAAAAATTTTATACCAGGCTTTTAAATTTTTTTTTTATTTTCTAGTTATGCTTAATCTGATTGATGATTGATCTTTTACTAAATGCTTAGTCTGATCTTATTCTAATGCTTATTCTGATCTTATTCTAATGCTTATTCTGATCTTATTCTAAATGCCTATTCTTATCTTATTCTAAATGCTTATTCAGATCTTATGCTAAAAACTAGGCTTTTTGAAGTGTTCATAAGTGTCACAGTGTCTTCTGTCGCTGTATCTCACCTGCGCGTGGATCGAATCCCATCATTCCTCCTCCTCCTCCCGTACTTGGGGGGTCTCTGTTACCTCCTCCTCCTCCCCCACTAGCAGCTAAACAGGACAAAAGACTACCATTGGGAGTCAGTTAATAAAACAGGGTGCTTAAACTACTAATCGGATCAGGGAATAATCTAGTGCCGTTATGTCCTCCTACAATGGGAGTAGTAAGTTAAATGGAGACAGATCCGATCATATATAAAGAAAGCGGCAGTGTAGAGGCTAATGTTTCCGTGTCTCCAGCGAACGGCCATTGATTCGAGCCCCGCGAAAACTCATGCTCGTTGTTTGAGGGTGAAAAAACATGACTCAAACCAGAAAATATCAAAAACATATCGATTTAAGATTTCAAACCATTTATCCACGAGGGAAAGGACCAACATACGAATTGTGCAGCTCATGACGACTAACCGCTGTTGTGCCCCTGATTAAGAACTAAATGCAATTTTTTTGGTATTTTTCTGGGCTGGGTAATGTTGCTTCACCCTCAATCAACGAGCACGGATCATGGTGGGCCTCGAACATCCGACCTTTCGATTGAGAGGCGGAGACGTAACCACTTCACCACCGCTCCCCTGTCTTACACAGGAGCATGACGGCTGTTGTTCATTAAGACCCGAACAGCTCGTTTGTTCGGCCTATTTGACGCGGACAAACACAAACACGGCATACTAAAACTAAGGTTTGAACGACCATACCTGCTCTGCCGCCGCCAGGTGCAGAGGCGCCTCCAGCCGGCTTCGCTCCTGCAGGATCCACTGCACTTCTGTCGCTGATTTGATCTTTCGGCACTTTCTTTAGCCCCGTTCCCTTCTGAATGGAGCTGAGAAGGGCACCCCTCGCGTTTGCATCGTTTTTGTTCACCTTCGGGGGACCGGAAGCTGCCTTGGGGCCCGGAGGGGGAGGCGGCGGAGGACCGCCTGGGGGAGGGGGTGGAGGGGGCGGCATCACTATAGATACTATATGTTCCACTGATTGACTTTGGTTATTGTGTCAAACTACCCTTCTGTTAGACTATCACACAAACTGTGCCAACTCATTGACTATCTGAAGTTTTTCAAGTGCCCTAATTGTCGAATTCCGCTAAAGTTATCTGTGCTGTGAATGGCACCGACTAATATGAAATCATCATCTTCGTCATACAAAGCATCAATGTTAAATCAGCGATTACTTAATTTAGAACCCATCATCTGGCAACTGAAACAAAACCGATCATCTCGCAACTGGCTATTCCTGAAACGATGATAGGATCTAATTAATGTAATGAATACGCTCCGGAAATACCATCTTGAGTGCTTTTTGTAATACTTATCACTTTCACATCTTTATTTATAGCTCTACTCTTTGCGCTGTACTAGTATACAATAAAATCATCTGATATAAATGATTCATTAATAAATTTACAAGTTCATTTCTGGTAGAAATCACGAGTCATCAGAATAAATGTGCAACAAGCCACTAATATTCGGCCTCTAAATTAAATTTGTTCTGTCACCAAAGTTTTATATTGTTTTTGACCTCTAGATTTGTACTTTTCTTATTCTTAATTCATTTCACACTTTGGAGTTATTGGCAAATAGCAAACGCTTGTTCCGCTGCATTTAACTTGAGAAAAAAATTCGATAGGTCGAGGCAGAAAAAAACCAGGAAACAGAAAAAATTATTCTGTGCACTCAGGGTTGATCAATGAAATGTAGGCCATAATAATGCATAACACTGTAGTAACTTCAATCTTTCTTGAGACGTTCGTCCGCTTTCTTCATGTTCGCCGCAATCCGCCTTCCAAACAGCCTAAACACGGACAAAGAAATTTCTGTAAAGAATCAAAGTTGTCATTGTGACTTTATATTCACAAACTACCCTTTTTTCGGTACAGCTTTAAACAATTGGTACATTTGCAAATGCCATTTTTTGCATGCACTTATTTTTTTTGTGTAGTGTGTATAATTTTTTTCAAATGATACATGAACAGCGTAATATAAATGTTACCTCTTTTTAGAATTAACTTTGTTCTACACAGAGGCAAAGTAAATCTTCGCAAAACTTGCGATGCAACACAAAACAGTATTGTAAGCTAGCAGACAGAAAATGAGACGGAATCCACATTAATTACACAAAAAGCAAAATCTAAAAAAAAATCAAACAATTGCCTCCAATGATACTTTCAATTTACAAAAAAAAACAAGCGGAAAACGCAGACACCGCTGTTGAATGAGCATTCCAAATCCTTTATCCAGCGGCAGCTAAGCCAAAATGCTATATTAGACAACAGTTGAGCCGAAAACAAAATGTCAGAAAATTTTTAGATCCAAATTTTAAAAATTTGAATTTTTAAGGCCTTCAACAAAAACATAGCCAACAGACAGCGTGAGGCGATAATTCGTAACAGGAGACAATTCGTAACATGCGACAATTCGTAACAGTAGGTTAGGCGGGGAACACTGATTCACGCGCAAAATTCCTCTCGTGCCGGATGTAAGCGCAGCGGAGCAAGCGCATTCTACTTTCCAATGTCTTGTTACGAATTGTCGCTTGTAACGAATTGTCGCTTGTTACGAATCGTCGCCTGTTACGAATTGTCACCCTACCAACAGACAGTTAGAAAAAGTCAATGTTCGCAAGTAAACAAAAAATCTCTATTTTCGAATTTCATTTAAGAAAATAAATGCTCTTAAATCCTTTTGAATTTTCAGAACAAATTAACAAATTATGATTGACACTTTTTTGATAAAATTAAAGCAATTAAACCAAAGAAAAATGGATTGATCAGTAAATTTTTTATTCCGCTGAGAGATCTCAAAAACAAATTCCACTTTGGAAACTAGAAGTCGATCGATCGTGACCTTTTAACTTTTGCTGTTCGATAGCGGAGTTCGTTTTCCTTTTAACAAAAAAAAGGAAATGAACTTTAGAAACAAAAATCAAAGCGCGTAAAAAAGTAAAAGTTCAGAAGGCGCGTGCTTTTCCTCAAGACCAAGTTAGAAGTGTTTCAAGAATAAAACAAGAATAATTTATCATAGGTTTGCAAGAACAGTTGATTACGGAAAAATCCCCGAAGTAAATTCTAATTCCAACGCAGCTAAGTGTGAAACAATCAAAATGTTCACGCTCAAGTAGCGTGAAAGTGAATAAAGACTAACTTGAAGGTGATTGGACTAAAATTGTCTATAAGCAAGAACAGATGGCCGAGCAGTCTAAGACAAATGCTAGACATAAGGTCGACCGGTTCGGTGTAGGATCTAGCCCCCACCTACCCATGTTTTAACATACTCAAATAGGGGATGATACCCTATTTTAATTGTTTTTTCTCTCTAACTTGGTTCAGATTTGATTAAGTATGACATCCAAAAAAGTGCAATATGTCTCAAGGACATTACCGGTTCTTGAGGCTAGCTTGCATTGATTTTGATCAATTTCTCGGGGAGTTGATCATTTGATTTAAGAAATTCCAATCACATGGGACTATCGGCTGAAAAACAATGACTTTGTCAGATGAATCAGATGTCAGAAATGTGACAAATCCGATTGCTTTTAGATCCCGTCAGGCCTTCAAATCTAAAAAAAACCATCAGCATTTATCTAAGAGTCTGAAGTACGTTTATCGACTCTTCACCAGCAAATATTATGTTGCTTCAATATTCAATTCAAAATTTTCTCGACCACTGTCAATAATTTTTTTATTCATATTCGGATGTTTTTAGATTCCGCAAATTTGAATGATAGTTTAAAAAAAAAGCAGGTTGAACCACTGAATTTTGGACCTTTTGAAAAGAAAACAACTACATGAAAGTATTATAAAACACTTTACTCGAACTTGAGGAAATTAAGCCATTCGGGTATGTTTAGACTTCAGACCAGTTTATCGGATGACACTGTTTTCTGAGAGGCAGAAAGAACTATTCAAAAAGATCATACTCTTTTAGTATTGGCAGCAACCTTCCACGCAGAGGTGAAGATTCACTTTGCAATTACAGATAAAATGGAAGAAGGAAGCTTTACTATTGAACAAATCAATAAGCACAAAAATAGCACATCGACTATGGGGTTCGAACCGCTAGCCTCTGGATTACGAATCATTTGTGTCTTTTTCATGTTTTATCTAACTGCCTTAGATGCTTTATAGAGTTACACAATATCCAAATGTTAATACCCGGCGTTCTAATAAAGCTGAGAAAAAATATGCTACTAAATCGCTCGTATTATTAGACAATCAAAAATTTTCTGAGCTCTCACAAAACTTACAACTTACAAAAAAAACGCAAAAAAAAGACGTTTCGGGCACTTTTTGGAAAGTTTTGACCAAAAAATTGCTTTTTCGACGCTCGTTTTCCCTCACAATTAGCATCTTATCAACTTTGAAAGAAGTACGATTTTAACATTGCCTCGCTGCAATGAAGCTTGGCGTAGCTAATATAGTAAAAATTTTGAACAGTTTCCTCTTTATTCTAAACAGCGTTCGCATAGAAGATTCACAAAAGCGAGAAAACGGAAGCAGTAGCTCCATTAAGGCAAACAAAATAGAAATTAGGAAAAGCATAAAAAGAATTTGAAAAATGAGGAGTTTGCCATCTGCTTGAATTGAACCGCCGAGCTGCCGACTACGAGTCGAACCTTCTTCATTTCCGTCAGCTGCTCTTGAGATAGCTAAATACTAGCCACCAATAAATCGCATCGAACACCCGCTATAAAACTGTCAAAGCTATGGAGCAGAAGTACCACCGAAATGAGCACTCTTTTATGTGAGTTGGGGTAAGAAAAAAGTGGACTCGTAACATGAAACTACCTTCACTGTGTGCACAAATCACGCATTTAGCGGTTACAACACTTTGGTGCCAACATACACTAGTTTTGCAAAGGAGCACGCTCCGAAAAAACACAATTTTAGGGTCAAAGTTTTCCTAAAAAGGTCCAAAAACGCGTTCACTGGCCTTGTTTTTTCAAAAATTTTCCTGCGGTGCAAAAAATTTGGTAAAAATTAGGTCTTTATAGTGATTCAGGAGAGCTCAGAAAAACAATTTGGTAGACCTAAAAAATGAACTTTGCTTGAAAATCTGCCAACCCCCCCTCGAGAAAATCCTGGAACCAACCCTGAACTTATCGCAAATTGATCTCCATCTAAAAAAAACTTGAAAAGCGAGACTGAAAAACAGTCAAAATCAAACCGCGAAAACAGACAACAGAGAGAGCGCTCAGGAACTTATTTTTCTTGGAAGACATTTACACCGTTGAATGAATTTAAAACAATTACGTGTCTACTATCATGTAAACGTAGAGGCTATACTTGAAAAAATGGCCCACCATCTGGATGTGTGTGGTGCATACTCGTACATATAGGCCACCACAACCATCAATTTGTGCACGATCCAAGCCTCTGGAACCCTGTTGGCCAGAGCTACTGCCATCAACTCAGCACACCTCTTACTGGTCATGGGGTTGTAGTTCTTGCTGAAGTTTTCCACACTTTTCTCACCGCCAACCTTAAAAATTGATCAATTAACTCCATAAATCATGCATTTAAACATATCAGCATTCATTTACCTCATCCCCACAAGTGGAAACAGGTCACAACAGGGGGGAAATGACTTGAAACTTTTTATTGATTAAAAACAAATTGCAAATTCATGTTTTTATTTTTTGATAAAATAATTGCCAACTCATGGATTTATCACATACCTATGCTTTGGCTACTTTTGAACTCAATTACCTAACATACGCCCCTAATATTATGATTTATTACATCAAAAAGGTCAAGCTAGCAACCAAATGACCATGCTTTCACGGGTACCGTACTTGATATGAAGCGGTTCAGAGCCGGACGCCCTTGGCAGTTAGAAGGATCCTAGAAGACCATGAAATGTTGGAGCACATAATATAACCTCAGACAGCACATCAAACAACAACGAAGCTTGCGGATTCACTTAAATTGAAAGCCTAAATCTTAAGCAAAGATTTGAAGTGAAAAGTAACTACAAACATGTAGACAAATGAATGTTCAAAATTCACATGAATCGGCTAAATTTGATTTGATTTCCGTCGTTGGTAATCTTACTTAGATCTAAGTGTAGGTCTTTGTCGCTAAACTGCTTCCAATTTGTTCAAATAACTTTCATTTCAATGTTATTTCAAGTAAATTATCATTTCACCACTTTTGAAAGTAAAGCTCCATTTATCTTACCTTCTTATTGACCGAAAAATCTGGAATCTATTATCTAGGAATGGATTCCCTAGAAAAACAAACTGCTCGAAGTTTAAAACCAATCAAAGCCAACAGTTCATAAAAACCTAATTTGTGCATTGGATCCTTCTAGCGAGAGACATCCCCCCCCCCCCCCCCCCCCGCAAAAAATTGAATTGATCTCACTATGAAAAGTTTCTCGAGCTCGCACGAGTAAATTTCATATAGTCAGAGCTATTGTAGAGCTGAAGTTTTGAAGCTTTGTTGTTTGTTCCGACTTTCAAAAAAAGTAAGGAATATATATACTCGAGGTATTGTTTTTTATTATTCAGATCAATTTTCAAAGAATGTCTCAAGGGATCGCTCCCTATATCTTCGTGTTCTCCGAATTGCCGAGCTCACCACTATGCTCGTTTTTTTACTTTGCGAAAGTGAAAAGCGCATTATTTACGCGTGGCAAAATCGTTCCAAATTGAGCTAAGGCAAGCTAATTGATCTTTTTAATTCCACAGATGACTAAAATTTTAACAGTTAAAATTTCATATTATCAGCCTAAAATCTATAATAAGTCAATGTTTCATTAACCAAAAACTATTCAAGACCAGTTAATGGGCAGTCGGAACAATCAAGCCATTGCCCTGATACGAGCAGTCTTGTTTTCTTTAAGTTTTTTTCCGACAAATTGTACTCTGGAAAACAAACGACGTGGCAAAAACAAAAAATGAGGGCTACTCCAGTTATATTAAATAATTCATGCAATTTAAATTTGGTTAAAAGAACGTTTCTTTCTAAAGTTTAGAGAGAAAAAATTGCCATACATATTAAAGTTCGTAACTTTGCTACTCAGGCTAGGTCTTATGCACAAAACGGCCCAAAATCAAAATCTTTATATCTTTTAGCTAAAAATAATGCGGCAGAATTTGATTGGCTAATATTAGCCAATCAAATTCAAGCAACATGGTCAGGCATGTCAATCAACTGTTCCAGCACAAAAAAAACTATTGATCGAATATACTGAAAAGGTGAATCTTAGTCAAATAATATTAATTTCGTGTTTTTTGTGAAAATATACCCAAACGAAAAAAACTTTGGTAAAATGGTTTCAACGCAAAAACAGTTCTATCGTTTTGGTCATTTCGGCCAATAATTTTATCATTTCGACCAAATTTTTTTAACTTAAATGCCGAACCATGTTTTTTGCATTTGACTGGCTAATTAACTAATCAGATTGAACCTCATTGACTTAAAATCAAGATGTAAAAATACTTATTTTGGGCCGTTTAGTGCACAAGACCCCTCAGGCTGTTGATGGATGGTCAAATTCAGTATAGAGGTGAAGCTGAGCTTCGAAACAATTGTGAGAACACGACCAAAACGCAGCTATATCAAACGAAATAAGAAAAAAAATAGAAACAAGCCTCGAATTAGTAAACTCGCCTACAAGTAGACTTCGAAAGTGCGACCTTGCAACATTGAGTCTCACACATAACCACTTATTTTGGGGATGCTTAAATTCCCCAAAAACTAGCCACTAATAACCAAGCTACATATGCTAATAAATTGCCAATTCGATTCCGCAAACGGGGCACCAAATACAAAAAGACACAATTTTGCATGTAATAAATTGGAAAGCATAAAGCCATATCATGAATAAATTATCCAGTTCAAAAAAAATTGCGAGATGCATTGAGTTGGAAAATTTCTTAAATCGAGCTTTTCATCATTGTACTGCTGTTTGAAACAATTAACTTTTAAATGCATCAGCTGTGTTAACATTTTATTAATCAAATGTCAAAGCCATATGATACTATACTGCTACCGCAGCCTACCGATTCAAAAGAGCCACCAAAAAAAGAAGGTTCGTACTAATACTTTCGTTTCGCAAGTGCAAACAATAACCAATTAGAAGACTAGTTTTCTCACTCAACGCAGGACCAACTGTGGGGGAGGTCATCTATTTCGCCCTCCAAACCCCTCCCGCCTCCTTCGCTTGTTAGTCAAACATCAATAATTCCAAACCATTTGGGACGAAAATCAAAGATTGTGCTGGTTCCAAATGGACCGCGACAAGATATTCGCTAAGATAGGAACTGCAACTGACTGGTGCACATTAGTAGTTGTGTTACCTGGTTTTCCTTGGTCATGAGGGATCTCTCGGCCAGTGAGGTGGAGACTGGCCCAATGCGGAACACCTGCACTTCAATGCCATACTCGAACCACTCTGCGCGCACACTGTCAGCGAAACACTGAAACGAACAAAGTAACATACTTATTTCCTGAAACACCATCAGACAACTTGATATCAGATCAATTGCACGACTTTTTCCCGTGATTTTTACAATGCTAAATATAAATACTCCATATTTTTGTCAAGTGTCAATTAGTCAGTTTGTTAATTTTCAAAAAAATCGCAGTTTATGAACCAATTTTTTACTGTTAAAAAACTGCAGGTGAGTGAAAAGGAAACAACCAATCTCACAAGCGGGATGTTTTGCTGTCCCCCTCCCCTCTTAGCTTTCTACCATTTGAAACTTTCGTTCGTACTACTTCGTTCATGCTTTCGTTCATTTTTGAAAGTTGACATTAAGGTAAGTACTCAATAAAAAGAGCCAATAAAAACCACTATAAATTGCAACTACCCAGTAAGCCTGATAAGGATGTTCCTCCAACAGCATGCCTTCAGTAGAAAAAAAAAAAATCTTTCAGCGAAATTTGTTTAAAAATATATTATCAATTACGACTTTTCAACAAAACTGGTATTTAAAACAGCCAACAGACAGCTGAAAAAAGTCGAGGAACGCAAAAAAAAAACAGATATATGGCCTTGAAGCTCTTCTATATTTGAGAACAATTAATGATTGACACTTTTTTGATGAAAATAACCCAATTTGAAAAAACTGGATCAAAAGGTAATTTTTTTTCCGCTGGGAAATCTGAAAATTAAATTCCACTTTCGAAACTAGAAGTCGATCACGTTTTTTGTGACTTGTACACTTTTGCTATTCGATAGTGGAGTTTGCCAACAATTTCACAAAAGAAATTAACTGAACTTAAAAAGAAGTCAAAAGTCAAGTCGCAATAAAATCCGAAATTGGTTTATCTACAAGAGACCTTGGTGCCCCTAACTCAAATTGACATTCATACATTCATTGACATTCATGTTATTTTTCTGAGCGGGGTAATGTTGCCTCACCCTCAAGCAATAAGCACGGATCATGGTGGGCCTCGAACATCCCACCTTTCGATTGATAGGCGGAGACATAACCACTTCACGACCGCTACCCTATCCACTTTGAGCATAAACAAACAAAGGCTTTGTCATGAAGAAAAATCATCACGAACTATTAAAAAAATTCTTCACTACATTCATTTAATCTGAATAATTTCAAACAAAACTGATACTTCAAAAAATAATGGTACTTGCTGTGTCGTAAAACACAGCCGAGTAATATCTCAAATTGATCGTCAAATAAGTACACTGGGTCTCCCCGGCTCTAAACTTTGTCCTCATTCTGGTTATCTGCTTAAGAGATACTCGGGACATGATAACAGATTAAGGTCGAAAATAACGCCAAGTGACAGTAATGAACGCAAGAAAACGAAACAAATTTGACGGTTTTTTGAAAAACTTCAAAATTTTTACTTTCGAAGATGGTCTCTAAGAATTCGTAGAACAATTTATTATTGACACTTTTTTTGATAAAATTAGCCCAATTTGAGAAAACTGGATCAATAGGTAAAGCTTTTATTTTGCTGGGAAATCTGATAATTAATTTGAATTTTCGAACTTAGAAATCGATCACGTTTTTCGTAACCTTTACATTTCCGCTGTTCGATAGTGGAGTTTGCCTTCTTTTTAACTAAAGAAATGAAATGAACTGAAACAAAAACAAATGTAAAACCCCGAAAAATCAAAATTGAGCGTGAAGATTTTTTCCTGGAAAAACAAAACAAAAAAAATCACTAAGACCAATATAATAGTACTCACTACGTTCATTACTCTCAAAAACCCAAATAACAAAACATTTCAATGTTTGTCTCGAATGAGCCTCAATCTGAGGCAAACACGTCCAGTAAACAAATGACCCGGCGTAAAATAAGTTCCGAAAGTATGTTCTCTTCAAACAACGCAAAATCAGACCACAAAGCCGATAAAACATAAGCCGAATAAAGCTTTAAAGCGGAAAAAATTGAGGGAAATATACAAAGTCAGATGTATTCGATCAACAAATAGGGAAAGTAAATCAAAAGCACTTGCAGCTGCAATGAAAACTGCTTGCAGCACAAGAACACTCCGCGATGTGAACTACGCCGACAAAACGTAATCAGACAAGCAATAGTCAATTGTTTTAAACTGATTATTTTTGAGTTTGAAAAATAAAACAGGGCATGGCCTTATTCGAAACTAGGACCATTGCCGTTCCAGGAACAGTCATTAACCCTCTGCCTACTGAAGAATTAAACAAATTTGAATTTGCTAAAATAACAAGCAATCAAATGAAAAAAAAAAATAAGCAGACCGAAAAAAAATTGTCCCAAATTCGCTCGTCAAAAAATCAACAAAAAGAAAACCTGAAAAAAAACGACATAATCTGAGTTGATAACCGGTGTGCTAACTACAAGCTTTTAAAAATAGAAGAAAATGGCGCCAACAATAATAAGAACGTTCGCGAAGACATCAAATGGATCTATTAAAAGTATGAGAATCAAGTAGTGAAAAAACAGCCAAGTGAACCCAAGGTCACACAAAGACAGGTTACTTATTCTTACTTTCAATGCTGCTTTGGAGGCCGAATATATTCCCATGTGCGGAGTACCTACCAATCAATCAATCAATTAATAAAACCATCTAGATATAAGAACATTTTAAATCCCAGCTGAAGTGCAAAAAAGATACATTCAAACTCTCGGTTAATGACTTCAACCTTCACTATCATTAACACCAAACACTTCACATTTGGAAGACCAAATACAAAATTCCAAAACTAAATGACTGCTCTCATAAACCAGCAAGTTGAGCTAAGAAATACCAAATAAAAAACTGTCAACAAATAGGATTATTTCTACGTTTAAATTTAGTTTAATTGGGATGTTGTTGACTATTTCTCCATTGCTAAGGGGCTATTCGTTGCATGGTACAAAATTTGTATCAGCTTCACTGTTGCATTTGTCCGTTTTAGAGGTGCGGAGTTTCGTTACTAGGTACCACATGGGCGAATGGGGTAGGTGGGAGGGGGGTGGATAGGGAGTTGTCTGAACAACAAGAATATCCGATGGTTGTGCTCACTCACTCATAGTGGCGACACTGGCGTTGAAGGACACGAGTCCCTTAGTGTTAGTTTGTCTCATGTGTTCTGCTGTCAGTTTGGAGAGGGAGACATGGCCCATGAAATCCACTTCCACAACTCTCCGCATCACACTCAAGTCTGTGTCTAACACGAAGCCCTGTTGATACACTCCCGCGTTGTTCACCAACACATCAATCTGACACAGAAAAAAAAAACAAATTAAACAAATCGACATAGCATAGCCAACCGACTGTTGGAAGAAAAGTTAACGAATTCAAGCAAATTAAAAAAAAAACAATTTTTGAAGATACATTAACTTTTCATTTTAATCAAAAAGAATAGTGTGAAGGTTTTTGAAGTCTCATAGCCTTTTATCGTTGAAAATTTCGGATAAAACTAACCCAATTTCAGAAAGTACGATTAACGGGTTTTTGTTTGTTCCGCTGGGAATTTTAAACATGAACTCCACTTCTGAAATTAGTTGCAATTCATGTTTATTCATACCATTTGCAGTTTGGCTGTTTGCGCACATTAACTTTCCGTTAAGTTGGAACCGAATTCGGATAGCCCTTCAAAAAATCTAGTTTCACACGAAAAATAAAAACATGCAAATTTGGGCGTGAAAACGTTTAAGCCTTTCCGGACTATTTTGTAGTGTGGTCTGTTAAGGTTGTGTAGTTTTGCTAAGGGTCTGTTAATTATTCTTGTTAATAATCTATTAATGGTTCTTGATTATCGTCTGCAAATGGAACATGAACAGTTCTTGCCAATGGTCTGTAAAAAAAAATCTTGCTAAAGCATATGAAGTTTATTTAAAAAAAACTTGCAGTTTATTAAAAAAAAACTTGCTAGGGTTCTTGCCGATTGTCAAAGATACTGTTAATTCAAGTTGCTTGCCTTCCAGAAATGAGCGCCCCGAGCAAATGTTCTCTTTAACTTTTGGCGTCTACGACAATTTAACATTACATCGCCTGTTTTGAGCATGAAGCAAATCATACGAACATACTTTTAAATAATCACCGTTCAACAATTATGAATATTTGGCTATTCTCAATTAATTCAGATTGAGGTTTTGTACCTACTTTGCCGTGCTGGTCCACAACTTGTTGCAGACACTTCGCATGTGATTCGTAGTTTGTGATGTCCATGGGAACAACCAGACAACTCGCACACTTATGAGCTAAAACCAAAATGGTGAACATTTTCTGTTTAAAAATAAAAGTTCGTATTGAGAAAAGGACGAGATTCATAAGTAGATTTATTAGCCAATCGAATAATAAGAAATACGTATTTCTCAAAGAAATCAAATCATTAAGCTAATATCATACAATTATACACAAAAAATTTAATTCAGTTTTTATACACAGAGGTGAAGCCGAGCTTCGCACCACTTGCGATACAACACAAACATGAGAAAAATAAGTCGAGAAAAAATAAAAAACAATCCAGATATTTGCATATGAAATTAGCAACGGAAAAAACTTATGAAGTGAAAACTAAGCCGTCAATCTTTGAGAAGACCCAAGTTGAGCCGGAAAAAATGATTAAAAAATCTTTTAAGAGTTTTAAGTCACCCCAGAAAGTACAATGAACAACATTTGCAACTATAGGTAAATTTGCTAACAGCACAAGAAAAAACCACCAGTGGCAACGCAACGGAGCCAAAACTACGAAGAGGAAAATTAGCCGACAATCTTTGAGCGGACACAAGTTCAGCCGAAAAAGATGGATTTTATGTCCCTCCTGATGATTTGCAACTACAATGAAATAAGCTTGCAGCACAAGAAAAATCCGTGATGTAGCAAGAACAATGAGGTGGCAACACTTACAATTGCAACTACAAAGCAAGTTGCTTACAGTACAGCAAAATCACAGATGTGGCACCTAAGCCGACCAAAGTTGAGCAGACAAAAAAGAGCGGCAAATCAATGTTTACCAAAAAAAAAAGATTCAAATGAATACATTTTTTTAAAAAGGAATGGCCGGGACTCGAAACCCAAACCCTATGGCCCAAAGGCGACAGCCTTTCCTTTATGAAAAGTGAGAACGAAGCTGAAAGTTGTTAAGATACAATAACAATGCAAGTTGAAGATTTTTTAAAGTTGTTAACGAGAAAACAAGTCTTGTGCCCGATTACAAGACCCTTTTTCTCGCAAGTGTAATCAACGACGGTTTACAAGATACTCTAAAATTGTAACGCCAGATAAGCTGCAAAGCATAAAATATTTTAACAACAAATAAAAACAATTTTCTATCGAGTTTTAAACATTTTTCGGAAAAAAAAGATCTTATGAGACAGAAAAACACCACTACAATTAGCCTAATAATCAACGTTAATTTTATTCAAGCGTCATTAAAAAACAACCGTAACTAGAATTTCATCGTAGAAAAAAATTCCAAATGAAAACTGTCCTAACAGCCTTGTCATCAAACATTTAAACACAGAGGCGAAGTTGCACTTCGCATACACAAGCAAAAATATGACCGACAACGCTACTGGGAAAAACTGAATGAGTAAAACTTTGAGCATGCCAATCTTAAAAGACGAACGCCAATTATGAGTCAACATAATTGCTAAGTGACGCAAGCCAATTCTGACGCAGTAGCAGTCAATTTGAAAAGAAATTTACCAACTAACATGCCTCAATTTACAGAGCGGACGCATTTTAACTAGTATACGAAAAAAATCATTAAAAACATGCGAGCCTGCTGAGGTTCGAACCCTCTTATTTTGCTGCTGGTCTCCTTCCCTACCTCTACGCTACAGAACCATAACACCTTGAAGCTAAAGTGCTATTTGTAATACAATAGTGTGTGTTAATATCCTTAGCATTTGCTGTACTTAATCGCTGGTTATTGATCTTATGCATATACTGCAATAAAAGAGCACTTTCAAAAAGAGCACTAAAATTTACGACTTAGGTTGGAAAAAAAGTGAGTTCTTAATATCACACAAGCTTTGCTTGTGTAAACAATCTGGAAAATAAGCGAAAAATAATTCAATAGTTGTAGAATAATTCGCATATTCAACCCTAGAATTTGATCGTTTATCGAAGGTATTTGTCTGCTGTTCAATTTGTGAACAAAATCTACTATAAGTGATCCTATACAAGTTCTCTTTGTATTACTGAAATGACTTTTCTGAATTTCTTGTCTTTTCTGACTTCATACAAGTCTTGATTGAATACGTTTATATCGAACTATAATGTTTTTAATTGAATGATGTTTTCTCTTATGTCCCTTTATCTGAAATATTCTTCACCACACAATACCCAGTTCTTATCGTGTCCTTGCTGATCCGAAAAACAGAACAAATTCGGAAATTCAAAATTATATGATCCTAGCACAGGAAAACAGAAGAAAACCATTCTACACAGAGGCAAAGCGCAGCTTAACAAAACTTTCATTACAATTGGGAGAAACAGTGAAAAAAAACCATTAAAAAGTCAAACTAGATTTATAAAAAATTAATAAAGCTGCTTTTGAAAAAAAAACATGCCATGAAAATAGAATATAAATTCAGCATCGAAATAAAATCTATCAAGCCGTAAAACATCGGCTTAATTTTTGAAAGATTTCAACTTTCGAATTTTGAAGAAAAAAATAGATAGCCTTCAAGCTCTTTGAAGTTCTAGAACAAATGGTGATTAACATTTTTTTGACTAAATTAACCCAATTGAGAAAATTTGATCAATTTGTAAATTTTTCATTCAACTGAAAACGAAACTAGAAGTCGATCAAGTTTTTTATGACCTTCACCCTTTTGCTTTTCGATTGTGGAGTTTGCCTTCCTTTTACCAAAGGAAAAATGATGAACTTAAAAAGAAATCAAAAGAACTGCAAAAAAGTATTTCTGAAAACTTTTCAAGCTACTCAAAAACATGGGTTTCAATGATTTTTTACAATCAATCAGTGCACTACTTTGCCAAGTAAGCAGTTGAAAACAATTGGTCAAGTTCATTTTTAACTCGTTTTTTATGGATAAAGAAAGAGAAAGTACTTTGATTTAATGCTTTCTTCAGTTTTAGATAATGGTGACCTTAATGATGCGAAGTAATGGTTGAAATTATGGCAATATTTCCTTGCAAATCTCAATTAGGCTAGACTCTTTATCCTTGCTTGTTACTTCAGATGACTCGGCATTAACTCTGTCACAATTGCGGTCCGGATATTCAACTCACCTCGCCAGCTACCAACACAAGCAAAACAATAATATATCCGACGTCTGCCGAAGTGCTACAATGAACCACACACCACCGGCCATCTGTTTAATTGCCTGGTACACCCAACCTCTCTTACCATCGAGAGATTATGGGAGAGTCCCAAAGTAGCTGCCAACATCTGCAGCTTATCACATAACCTCAGGTAACAGGAGTTTTTCTCGGTTCTCCTCACTAATAAAAACTGCCCGCTTGAACCTCGGTTCTCTGCACGCCGAAAAACTTGCCTTTTAGAACGGATTTCATAACTAAATCAAAACCTCTCACTTGAGTGTGCTATACAGAGGGAGGGTGCCGAGACCAGCACAAAGACGCTATCAATGAAAAAAAAAGGCTCCCCTTCTACGCCGGTTTAGCCAAAACCAACATGATCAATACGATCAACATTTCCTTAACTCTCTCTTCCTCGATACCTCAAACAAAAACAATCTCTCTAAGTCAATCAGAGACTCAAAGCAGAGATTGATAAGATCGATGTAGCTACAACAACAGAAATAGGTAGAGATCCAAATTTGTAACAGATCCGGCTGTTTTGTAGGGTAAATTTTGCTTTATTAAGCACCGTATAGGGATATGTAAAGATCCAAAATACTTCAAGATACGGTTTTTTAAAGGGGTGGCTATTAAATACTAGGGGCCACAGGAGGAAACAAAAACTGAAGAGAGCTGAGAATGATCGGCTTCCTGTTTGTCGTGGGGAGAGTTATCGGGGTACTGATTTTGCTTGTAAGACGGTAGAGCTTGGTACGGTAGAGAAAGCCATTTATTCCTTAAGCGACACAAGACAGCCGAATTTGTTGGCTCATTGATTCTCTCCATTTACCTTTTCACCTTTATTGTAATGCAAGCCAAAAATTAAGGCCAATAAACGCGTCAAAAAAAATTTCCTAGCACTGATTCAAGCATTTTAGTTGATGCTGTAGAGCATTCGAGGCACCTATTTAGATGTGTTTCAGTTGTAGAGATCATAAATAGTTTGAAAGCTAAACATTCTACAGGAATTGACGGAGTCAGTAATTTGTTTTCATTAAGAACGTATACATAGTAGCTCCCTACTTTATGATTTTGATAAACCTCCATTTGAACCTGGAAATTTTCCTATACTCCTGAACAACCAAAAGTTTCTCCGCTTCATAAATCTGGAAGCAAAAAAGACATGAACAATTACAGACGTATACATACATATAAATATAACTTGATATTAATATATAAATATGCATATAACTTCTAAAAAGCTGTCGCAAAGTCTTTGAAATATTATGGGTATTTTGAAAAACTTAGTTTGTTTATGATAAACAATAGAGATTTAGAAAGTAATTTGCAACCATAGATGCTTTAGCTGAAATTACAGAGAAGTTAAGGTTCAATACAAAAAAAGATGTGCGGTGTAGTTTTTTCATTGAAAGCATTTGATACGCTTGATCACAAGCTGCTTCTAGAAAAACTTAATTCATATGGCATCAGAGTTGTTGCCCGTCAATTGTTTGAAAGATATCTATCAGACAGATATCAATGCGTTGTTGTTAATACTGTAGTTTCTGAATGGAAATCAGTGAATGTAGGTGTTCCAGAGGGATCGGTTCTTGGTCCTATTCTTTTCCTTCCATACGTTAATGATATGCCTGCTTTAACAAATATCAGTCTTTGGTTACAACACAATAAACTAGCTCTGACTATAGATAAAACCATTATTGTTAGCAATTATAAGAATAGAAGTGCTTCTAATGTATGTGTTCAAATCAACGAGAGTATTTTCACTCCAAATACTTCATATGTATACCTAGGTGTAATTGTCGATAATAAACTTAACTTCGTTGAACAGGTTATAAAATTAACATAAAAATTGGGTAGACAGTAGCATCCTTACAAAAAAGCGACATTTTGTATCGAGGTCTACTTTACTCAAATATAATAATTATATCATCAAAGCTTTAATTCAGCATGGAATACTTGTTTATGC